AAAAGCAGTCATAAAATTAAATGTAATTTCTAATTTAACTGATGTAATATCCTACATACATATACAAATACAGATACAGACACAAGAGTACATATATACATACATGAGAATAAACATATGATATATTAAAATAGACAGCCAATGGTAAAGAAAGATAGAAATGTAATTCTATTGAAAAGAAAAAAGACTACGTGTGTGGGTGTACCTAATAAAATAAAAACAAACAAAAAAGAAAAAGAAAAGAAAGAAAGAAAGAAAGAAAGAAAATAATAATAATAATAATAATCTACTCGTAGATAGGTAAAAAAAAAAAAAATACTAGAATAATATCTCGATCGTTGACGTTTTTATCCTCTTCTTCTTCTTCTTCTTTCTCCCTTTTTCGTCTCTTTGTCCGCCATGTTTGTTCGATGATTTATACTTCACTTATGTAAAATAATAAAATAAAATTAAAAAAAAATAAAAACAAGAAAAAACATTTCAAAAAGAGATCTCTCGAACGAGATATTTCGAGAAACGAAATGAAAGAATTGTCGTGCCAACTATTTATTATTATAAATAAATAATTAATTAATTAAATATAAAATATATATATATATATATATATAAAGGAATTGCAGGAGATGAATTAAAGTAAGAAATTGAAACTTGTATAATGGAGGATAAGTAAAAACATTGAAGTTGAGACAATGAATGATTCGAAAAGGTGACGGAATAAGAAAAAAAGAAAAAAAAAGAAACTTTTCATCATTTTTACTAATAGTCGAGTAATTATATTGAACATTATTCTTCCTCTTTTTAATAAAAAAAAAGAAAAACAAAAAAAAAACAAAGTATCTTTATCGATGTTCGATCTTTCGTGGGATCTAAAATCCGAACGAAAAAGAAAAATGAAAAAAAAAAAAAAGAAACTGGAAAATATAAGAGAAAAAAAATTAAATAAAATAAAAAAATAAAAAAGGAAATACACGCATACACAAGAAACACATAAGTATATACATATATGTATACATACGTATGAATTAATATTATTATCAATTTTGCCTCTAAGAGGATTAGCATGGCAATAGGGGAGAGAAGCGACGAAAATAAAAAATAAAAAATGAAAATTAATACAAAAAAGGAAAAGAATTATTATAAACAAATAATAATAATAATAATAATAATAATAATAATAATAATAATAATACATATTAAACGTATATAATTATATAAATAGAGAGAGAGAGAGAGAGAGATATATATGTAATGTATAAAATACGCTATTTCGTACCGTCGCTGCTTTCAATTTTTAAATTAAAATTAAAATTAAAATTAAAATTAAAATTAAAATTAAAATTAAAATAAAATATATAAATAAAATATAAAATAAAATAAATAATAAAAAGAGAACAGAGAGATAATATACAGTGATCTACGATAGATACACTTAAACTATACGATGTATGTATGTAATCCTATTTGAAAAAATATTTCAACTAAACGTGCAGATTAATCGAGAAATTTTCTATTTTTTAATCGAAATGCGCCAACAAACCACGCCGAACCACGATCCTCGCGCTCGTTATTTTTTTAAAAATGATAATATCACCACCACCAACGCAGGAAATTGTTACATATCATTGTTAAGTTAATTCTATGTACAAAATCTTACAACTCTATTACTACTACAACACCACATATTATTATACACACATATTATATTATACGTGCATAAATAATTACGAAAAAAAAAACAAAAAACGAAGCGCATTCGATCGAACAATCAACAACAAAAATGAAGAGAAAAATTTACAAGATTTTTATTGTAATTTTTTTTCTTTGAAACGAGCAAACGTAAAAAGAAAAAAAAATATGTTTATGTAAAAATGAGTATAAAACGAAACGTCAATTGGCAACAGTGTTTTTTTTTTGTATCAGTTTATGAAAAAATGATCAAAGATTTATTAATTTTTTTTTATATTTTTCATTGCAATCTTTTTTTGTATTTTGTATTTTTTTTTATTTCGGAATTCATCGTCAACGTAAGTCTCTCTCCAATTATGTAAAAATGAGTATAAAACGAAACGTCGATTGGCAACAGTGTTTTTTTTTGTATCAGTTTATGAAAAAATGATCAAAAATTTATTAATTTTTTTTTTATATTTTTCATTGCAATCTTTTTTTGTATTTATTTTATTTTTTTATTTTTTGTATTCATCGTCAACGTAAGTCTCTCACCAATCCGCCTATTTCTCGTTATGCATGCTAATATTAATTGAAATTGTTGAAATGATATTGTACGTCGCTTTTGTCTACGTTTAAATAAAACAAAATATAAAAATAAAAATAAAAATAAATAAAAAAACGATAATCGTATTTTCGAAAAAAAAAAAAACGTTCGACACAACAACACACAATTCATATGAGAAAAGAAGAACAAAAAAAAAACACAAGAAATTTAACATCGTGTATATCAAAACGTACTCATCATTGAGTACTCTGAATAAATTTCGATAAAAACAATTTATAAAAATAAAAAACGAAAGAGAGAAAGAGAGAAGAAGAAGAAGAAGAAGAAATAAAAAAAAAGTGCATAAAAATGAAAACGTTGATTTGAATCTCAGTCACTGCAAAAAAAAAAAAACAAAGAAAAAAAACAAATAAAAAGACAAATTTCACATTTCTGTCACAAAAAAGCGAATTGCGACAGTATCAAGAAAGAGAAAGAGAAAGAGAAAGAGAGAGAGAGAAAGAGAGAGAGAGAGAGAAATAAATCGATGATAAAATTGCAATTTATTATTCCTAAACACAAACCGCTCCACAATTTTTTCAATGCTAAGAAAATATCGAATTTTTTCTATATCTCGCTCTATGATGAACTACTACTACTACTATTACTACTACTACTACTATCATATTTATTCTTCGACTAAAAATCCTTAAAAATCCTTTGGTTATATTTTTCTATATAAAAAAAAAAAAACAAAAATCCATAATAAAAAAAGAAAACATTAATCTCTAATCTCTAATTCAAGCGCAAAATAAATTAAAAAAAAAAAAAAAACAACCCAATTTAATGCACGAATCTTCACTCTTACGCGAATGAGATAATGAAGGTGAATTCGATGCATGTGAACAAAAAAAAAAAAAAAGAAAAAAGAAAATGAAAAAATTTAAATATATATAAATGGCGAAAAAGGCGCAAAATACTTTTTTTTAAAACTTTAGGATTATTATTATTATTATTATTATTATTATTATTGTTATAGATAAATGAAAAGAATGAAATTAAAGTTATTAACTTTGTTATTAAAAATTATAAACGTAACGAATAAAAATAAAATAAAGTAAAATAAAATAAGAACAATACACGCCGAATGCTCAAGAGAGAGAGAAAAAAAAAAAAAAGAAGAAAAAATAATAATATACATTAAATAAAACAATCTCGTATGATCCATTTTACAAGCATACGATGATCACCACATTATACATAATATGCTTGCATTACATCAAACAAAAATATTACATACAAACATATACATATATACACACATATCATACAGAGAATATAGATTAACACGTGCGCTTCTTTTTTTTTTTTATTATTACTACTGTATAACGTAGTCACACATATTATTATTATTATTATTATTATTATTATTATTATTATTATTATTATTATTATTATTATTATTATTATTATTATTATTATATCNTAGTCACACATATTATTATTATTATTATTATTATTATTATTATTATTATTATTATTATTATTATTATTATTATTATTATTATTATTATTATATCTTATTTGTTATGAGTTTACGAGAGAGAAAAAGCGTAAGTAAAAAAAGATAAGAAAAAAAGGTAAAAAAGAAAAAAAAACAGATAAAACAGATTCATTATCTCTACCATTAAGTTTACCATTATCATATATATATTTAAATAATATATTATATTATCACACAATCTTTTTGCACACTCCTCGCCTTCTTACCCTTTTCCTTCTATCCACTACTACACTGTCCACCACTTGCCCAAATGTGTATCATTGTATCAACCTACTTGAGAACAAATGGTGTTGTACTTTTTCATATAAAAGGCATTGCCAAAATAAATATGGGGTTGGAAAAACTTATAAATATTTAATATTCGTTCATCAATCGTTTTTTACCCTCTCCTCTCTCTCTCTCTCTCTATTTCTCTTCTCCCACTTTTTTTTGTTTTCTTCTTTTTCTTCTTCTTCTTCTTCTTCTTTATTACAGGTTGAAGAAATATTATCAATTAAATATATAATAGATTAGGCAAGAAATTATTTGGACAAAATTTATTATAAAATATATTATGGATTGGTTAAGTACATATCCAACTCTACGTACGTGAACAACTTCTAATCGTAACAACTACATATACATAATTAAAATTCACGATGAAAATACTCGTCGTTTAAATAAACGAAGAACATTTGCTTGTAACAACTAATAAATATTAAAATGAGAAGAGAAAAAAAATAAAATAAAGGAAAACTAAACACATTTTCACACAAAAAAAAAAAAAGAAAATTGAATACAACATAAAACAAGAACTTCGATAACTAAATATTTAGTTAAAAAAAAAAAAAAATAAAGTCTTATTTTTAAAGTTTGAACATTTTTAACACAAAACAATGTTTATATCTTTCGTCTTATTCGTATAATACAAATAATATATATATATAAAAAAAAAGATTGTAAAATAATAAAAAAAAGACAAATCAATCTCATTGTTCTTCGAAAAACTTTCGAACGCGATTAATAAAAATGTTTGTTTGTTTTTTGTTTTTTTTTTCTTTCACTTTCACTTTCACACACACACACTGCAGCTCTCAACCTACTTTTTAAGTTTAAATCACAACCACAAAACGTAAAAATTAAGTCATCGTATTTTTATGTCAACACGACTCTCTCTCTCTCTCTCTCTCTCTCAACATACAAATATATAGATATATATATATACTTAAGGAATATACAATTTACAGAGAGATAAAATAACAATTAGCAAGTTAATGAATTAATCGGTAAAAAAAGAAAAAAAACAAAAAAACAAAAACAAATGTAACATTTATGTCGTTTTCTATCCTTCTTCTTACTTTCATTTTCTTCTTTTTTTTTTATTTTTATATCTTGGAAAGGGGCCTAAGTTAAGTTATTAAGGGATTCATTCGAAAGGCTACTTATCGTTGTCAACATTTTTATTGTTGACAATTTGTATTATTATCGTTGTCAACACCGGAAAACTTAGAAAGCACCAATTATAGTACTCAATATTTAAACGTACTTTCTTTCTTTCATCGTCACCATCATTATCATCATCATCATTCTATATATAAATTTTGCAAATTCACAAATTTTGATAAACTGGCCCCAAAATATCAGTCTTTTAATTTGAATTTTGTTAGATTCCATTAATTAGAAGCTTAACCAACATGGAACAACATTGTATAAATATTTTTGCTCTATGTTTGTGTCCAGTTAAAAGCTTCCATTGTATAATAATCGATGCTACGTCTAACGCGAGCAGCCCATGTTTTTTTTTTTTTTTTTTTTTTNTTTTTTTTTTAAATCATTTGAAATACGCATAAATATTTTTGTTTTAAATTAAATAATAATATCTATCTATATATTTATAATAATAAAGAAAAAAAAAAAAACCCGCCCATCATATAAAACCTGAGTATAACTCTTTTTCTTTCGAAGATATATAAGCAAAGAGAAAACTCAAATAATATTATTCTACTACCTTGTCTAAGAAAAAAACTACATTACTTCTTTTTTTTTTTTCTTTCATCGAGATATGAATTATTTACAACGTTTGAAATTCTTCTTCTTCTTCTTCTTCTTGTCTTAAATTCAGTCGTACATAATATTCTTCTACCTTGTGTTATAAAGTTAACAACTACTATTATTTAAAACGAAAACATTGACAAAAAAAAAATCAAATATACTACGATATATCAATCTACACAACAACGGACTGCAATCTATGCATTGTGATTATAGAATAATACCTTTACGTGATATAACTTACTGATAACCACCCTAAGGTAAAATTAATTGAAATAAACCTAGGACATTTGATTATCAAAGTGAATTCTGAGCACCTTTCTTAACCCCGTTTGTTTTCTGTCTACATTAGCACTCTTCACACGCACGCATCATTTCAGTCTCACTCTATAGATTGTATTTATTTGTATGTGCCCTTTTCTAAAAAAAAAAAAAAACAAAAAAAACAAAAAAAATAAAAAGAAAGTTAAACTGTCTACAAATAAATAGGAACTAGCCTGTGCATTATGTGAAGTCACTAATTAACAAAAGAAATCTCCTAATCATAAACGATCAAGTGATAATCAATGCTTAAATATTTAACACAACGTAATATTATAGACAAAAAAAACTGCATAAGAACATATTATGGTGTATGTTTGCATTTTTTGTTTGTTTGTTTTTGAACGAGAGTTCAACTGATTATCTGATCAACTAGAACTATAATAGCTATATCATGACCTTCCTTTTTTTCGCATGTGCCACTTTAACCACACTCGTAGTCTCCATAATCAAAGTTTCTAATATGGCTACGGTAAGTCCATTTTTCACTGCCAATTCATCATGATGAAACTTAGTCCATTCATCTTCTTCAGCTTGTGCCTCTCTAGCTAATAATTCGTCGACTCTATCCCTACGTTTTCTACTCCAACGCATTACCATATTCTCCCTTTGTAATTTAGTTTTAAATCCAAACAACGTTGCTACTTCTTTACTAACATATTCATGAAGCTCTTCTACTGTCTTTGGAATTTTCATAGCTGGTTTAGTTTTAACATTTGGTTTTGTCCAACTTGGACCAGGCTTCTCATATTCCGCTTGATAAACTTCCGAAATTGTTTCCTTACATAAATCGAATAGGAATGTATTGTAAATTTTACGATCTTTTTTTGCAATCTCGTTACTTTCCTTCGTTAATTCGTAAATTTCTGGAGGAGCTTCTAATGTCATGATATCTTGTCCAGATTGTTTAGCTTTGTATATCAAAGCTGTAGCCTTTTCCGTGAATGCCGTTAACTCTTCGATATTCGAAGGAATTACTGCAGGAGGTGGAGAAGGTGAAGCAATAGCAATGGAAATTCGATTATCTCCTGGAGGTGTATATGGCGGTGGAGGTTTATTCGGTATTTCTCTAACGTAATATACCTCTTCAGCTTCCAATTTTTTGATCTACAAAAAAGGAAAGACAAAAAATTGATAATAGATAAGTATAACATATTAATTTATTCATTTAAAATAATAACAAAATATCTATTACCTCTAATTCAATTTGAAGTTGTTGTATACGAAGTAGCTTAGCCTCCAAGTCAGCAACTTCTAAGCCTGGTTGTTTCAATGAAGCTGTAGGCATTAAAAATAAAATAATATATATTAAATGTAAATATAATATATATATACAGTATATATATAGGAAAAGCAACAAGATTTGTTACAATACATTAGGGATAATATCTTAGAAAATTTTTAGTGCTTCAGAAAAAATAGGGAAGATCAAAAGTAGTAGAAAAATTGGAATATCTTTTCAAGGCACATGATTCAACCCAATGATAAAATGTGAGAAAATCAAACATTCTATAGTATGATTATTATAAAGACTTTTTCTTTCTGAAAATATGTATATAAATACTTATATATATATATATAGAAGAATCATATAAACGTTGTTTTTAAATGTGTCGTGATTTACAACATTTACAAATCTTCTTGTGCATCAACAAATTAATAAGGTTCAAGCATTCATGCAACACTGATTAGTACAAAATGAACAAGTTAATGTTCGTTTCATTCGAAATTTCATGATGTATTATTACCTTTAGGTAAATATTATCTCGACTTTGCTATTCTGAAAATAAATAACACATAGCTATACCAGGCAATGCTTTGCATAAGAGCGCTCAGCCATTATGAAAATTGAAATAGATAAGATAAAAGTGCATATTTCCTTTTTTTTTTTGTTTTTTTTTTTTGTCTTTTTGTTTTTTTTTTCTCGCTGAAATTCACTTCACATAAAATGCATGACATCATTTACAACCCAAAATATAGTCGTTATAATTTATAAAAAAAATATCAATCATTTGACATATATTTGTTTAACAAATATAAACGAAAATATTGATCAAATGGTAATATTACTATAAAGAGTTTAAATGAAGTTCAATACATAAAATTATGTAAACGAATTTACATAAAAAAAATTTGATGAATGAAGAATACAGAATCAGAATAATAATAATAATAATAATACTTAAAAGATCAAAACACATTGATAATTATTTTCTATATATAGAATTGAATGTATCTTGAAATAATAAATATATAATAACATAGAATTTATATGAATGAAACTATCTATACTTCATTCATATTGTAAAAATCTAAGCATAGACAATAATAATAGTAAAAGAATAAATATATACCTTTTATTTTATCGATCATTGCTTCTATGTCTTTTTCCGATGTTGTAACAATAGGTGTTGCGTGAAAATCCGTCTTTGATTGATCTTGTTTTCCCATATTCGTATTACTAAGTAGATCATCGTCCAAGGCATCAATATTCAATCTGGAGTTATTTAAATCTCTTGGTGAATCTATTTCTATTTCTGATACACCAGCAGGAGTATCACCACCCTCGCTAGAATCAGATGATGATACATCTTCGTGTTGTTTTTGTATCACGTTTTGATCTACGTCACTTATTATTTTAACGTCTCTTCCCTCAGACTGAGATAATAGATCATTCAATTTATTAGAAACATCTTCAGTTTCAATTTCAGTCAATTTGGAATTATCTGATATTGTATCTTTCATAATCTCGATATTTGGATCGACTGATTGTTCTATTTGTATTATTTGATTTTCATTATCTAATAATGATGGATCAATCACTTCTCTGTTAGATATTGTTTCTTCTTTTTTATCTTCTTCTAATGTTTTTATTAACAATTCTGGTAATGATTTTTGAGAAATTTCATCTAGTATCCTTAATACTTCAGATTTGTGCACTGCTTGATAATTTTCTGTTATCATTGTTCCTTTTTGTAAACTTTGTGTTTTTTGACTTTCCGTTTTATCCAAAATTTCCGATACTTCAAGACTTTCCTCAGAGATATCTTCATATTCAGGATCTCTCAATACTTCAAACTGTGTTTTAGTAATAATGTCAATAACATTAGTTGTAGTTATGGTGTTTTGTTCCTGTGTAAATTGTAAATTACTCGAGGATTCATTTTCTCGTGAAAGATTTCTTTCAACATCTTCTTGTTTATCATTTTCTGATAAACTAACACTCTTATTAGAATGTATTTCTGTTGATTCAGGATGTTTTTCTATCACATCTAAACTACTTTCCGCAATTTCAACTAAATTATCAAGTTGTTCACCCTCAGAACTTTCTGCTTCAGGCAATGATGATTCTAAATCTATTTGTTCTTCGATTACTGGAGATTTACTTTCTTTTTCAATAGCAGTAACATAAGTTACATGTGATTCTTTATTTTCATCATGAATATTATTTTTTTCATCATTTAATTCTTCATCGGATAATTCAATCTTAGTACTAATTTCTAATTGGGGTAATAAATCTTCAGTATTATCTGAATCAGATTTAGTGATTATTATTTCACGTGACTGAACTATTTCTCGTTGGACAGTATCTTTATCTTCTATTTCTAAATTTAATTCAATATTTACCACAGATACATCGTCTAATTTATTGGATGGAATATCTAACAACGCTTCACTACTAGCATTAATACGATTTTTATTATTGTATTCTAAATATAATGGAGTAATATTAATTGTATTATTGTCACTTGTTGACAATTTATGAATCTGCAACTTATCATCAAGTGTAGAATCGCATGTAATTGATGGAAATGGACTTTCCATCGTAAGATCCATATTATCTGTTTCTAAGATAATCTTAGTTTGAATATTAATTTCATTCAATTCATCATTGTTCTCATTTTCTTTTCCTGAAGGAATGGATGATTTCATAGATTTTATATCATTTATGTTTTCATCAGTTTTGTCTCTTCCTACATATTGCTTTTCTTCTTTATCATTTTCCCTGGCAATTATATCTAATATATCGTCAAGCTCATCAGTAGTTTTTTCAATGTCAGTTTCATTAATCTTTAAATTAAGAGCATCAATATTTGTTGATTCTGCTTTAGGTAAAAGCATAGATTCATCTTCTATACTAACAGATAAGTTTTCTGTAAAATCTTCAACAACATCATTTTCATTTTCTTCTTCTTCTTCTTCTTCTTCTTCTTGTGATATATTTTTATGATCTGAATTAATATACATGTGCGATGATGATTCTATTTCACGATTCTCTGTTTGTTCACCTTCAATTTCTACTTCATCGTGAACAATATTAAATGAATCAGATATTGTCCAGTCATCCTTATCTACAGACATTTTTTCGGTGGATACAATTTCAGATACATCATTTTCTTCAACATTGAAATGACGTTTAATTAAATTCACAGACAATGTATTTGCATTTTGTGAAATAATATTATCTTCGTCTTTACTATTAGAAATATTATATTGACCCGTATTTATTTCTTCTTTATTAGTAAAGTAATCTCTCGAAGATAAATGTATTTCATTATTTTCAATGGAAGAAATATTGTCAATTTGCAAAGTATCTTCATTATTTTGAAATTGTGAAATATTTTCTAAATGTAATATACTTTCATTGGTAATTACATCATTGTCCTTTTTCAAACTGTCGTCTTCTTCGATTATTATTGGGCCTTGTTCTGATATATTTGTCGAAATTGATTCTACATTTTCAGAAAGTTTTTCACCGTATGATTCTTGTGTTACAATTTGAACATCTACACTTTTATCATCAATCATTTCTTTGTTCAAAAGTGTATTTATTTTAGGTGTATCCTTCGCATAATTATTTTCTTCTATGGATGATGATATCGATGATTCTGATTTTTTATTAATATCTGTTATAGTAGGCAGATAATATGAAAAATCTTGATTAAGTTTTTGTATCTTTTGTGTATTTGTTTCCAATGGTATAATTGACGAATTATTATTATTATTACCTTCAAGTATTTTTGCATGCTCGGATATAATTGATTTTTCAATTTCATTTAATATCTTTTTACTTTCCGCTTTATAATCTATTTCTTGACTTGATTCGGAAAATATTTCCTTTTCTGGAATGAATTCAGATATAACTTGACTCACATTTTCTTCTAAATTTGCAGAATCATTACTGACAGATTTTAATTTAGAAATGTCTGTAGAATTATTTGAAATTTCCGTATTAATAGGAAGAATTTCCGTATCTGTAATATCCGATTGAATTGTTTTATCATTTTCTTTATTAGATATTAATGTATTATTGTCGATTAATTCAGATTTCGAAAAGACTTCTGATATATCTTTTAAGGTACTTTTTTCATCATTATCATGCTTTTCATTGGATAAACTACTAATTCGTGACATCATTTCTGATAGAGCCTTAAGCTCATTTTCAAGGCAATTAATATCTTCATTTAGATTTTTATTATTTAATTGTAAAAAGTGTAATTTTTTAGAATAATTAAGCGTTCCATTATCATTATTATTATTATTATTATTATTATTATTATTATTATTATTATTATTATTATTATTATTATTATTATTATTATTAATAGCAAGTTCCATATTGGAACTTGGGATATATGTTTCTGATCTATTTGAAATAATCTTTGAATTATTTGTTGTTTTTGATGTTTCTATTGTGTTGGACTGTGACACATGATTTTTTAAAGGCACTTGTTCAACATCAATTAAATCTGATTTTGTTTCTATTATTGCAATTTGATCACTCTTATGACTCTTCGATTGTTTTAATTCAGATGCTGTAGGAATATCTGTATCGGTATTTATTACACTAACTTCATCTTTAATATCTTTTGAATTATTGTCAGATGATATTGCAACTGTTAATATTTCTGGTACAGTGACAAGCGTGTGATTAGTTTGAGTTCCACTTGAATGAAATGTGGTATTGTAATTTGTAACTTTTTCACCTTGATCATCGTCAGAAGTTGATGACATTGAAATAGATCGATGTTTTTCATATTCTGTATCTTTCAAATCTGTAAATATCGATTGAACATTAGAATGATTATCTTGTTTTTTATTGTTCGACGACGATTCTACCACATTATTATTCCTTTGAATTATTTCTGATGGTTTAGAAAAATTGGTTTCTTCACTTTTACTCTCATATATTAAAGATTGAATGTTCTTAATAATGCCCTTTTGCTGAATTTTTGTTGATAATAAATCAGATTCTGATCTTGAACGTAATAAGTCACTTTTTTTATAAATCTCTTGTATTCTCTTAAGTGGAATATCAGGTACTTTAAATTCAGCCAATGATTTAGACTCTATAGCCAATCTGTCATTATCCTTCACAGCTTCTTTTCTAGATTCCAATTTTTTTCGCATCTCATGAATAGTTGTATCATATTTCTATTTAAAAACAAAATATCAAATATATTAAATATTTGTATATAATCATATAAAATAGTTTTGAAAAGGTAATAAGATTAAATATATACCTTAATTTGATTTAACAAATTAGCTTCTAATGCTTTTAACTTTTGTTTCGTTTGTTTTCTAGCTTCCTTTTTTAAACGTGACATTTCTATCCTACGCTCTGCTAATTTTTCTGTAAGTAATTCTATTCTTCCTTCCACGTCACTTGTATCAGATGAGAGTGTAGAATCTATATATATATAAAAAAAAAGAAACATAAAATCGTATAATAATTAAATATGAAAGTACAAATCAATATGTGTAAATATTAAAATACACCCCTACTACCTTGATGAGACAAAGCAGAAGTTGCAGTGACAAGCTTATATGCAGCTTCTTCCATTCGTGCTACACGTTCTTCTTCAGCTCTTAATCTTGCATCCCATGCCATCCACTCTTCTACACAATTTCTACGTGAAACAAGTGCCGCTTCTCTTGCATTCAATATTCTGTATAAATACATTATTAATTAGTTACAAATTAATTATATTCATATAAGATTTATTATGTCGCGCGTATATAAATAATTAGCAATTATCGATTAATATGTGATTGAATAGTTATAATTATGAAAAGAGTAGGATTATATATATATATAAAATGTTTGCACCAAATATAAATTGTGCACGATAATATCAGCATGCAGTTTGCCACTAAAGAGAATCTATTTTTACAATGGTTGTGGACTTCATGGTGAATTCACATTTTAGGTTTATTATTAGACATCTTATATATGGCTACAGAGATTTAGTAAATTATTAATAATGAAATGTCAGAGAAGAATGATGTGTGTGACTGTTGTTGTTAAACATAAAAATGACTTTAAAGTATTACTTACTGTTCAAGCTTTTTTGAAGTTTTAAAATCATGATTTTGTGATCTGATAACTATTGATCTAGTATATTCTTTCCCATTATCTACAGTATTATGATTAGAAATGGCAAATGTTCCAAGCTGAGATCTCGTAGATATATCACCACAGTTTTGTACGTTCTTTCCTTTATCCTTAGATGGATGATAATTGTTGTCGTTATAATTTTCAATGCTTCTTTCAAAAACATTTTCTACTGAAATATTTTCTTTACTTTCGTCTATTATATCGGCAAATAATTTGGAATTTTTATCCTTCATAGCGTTAGATTGTCTGAATAAAACTTTAATAGAATTTTGATTAATAGTTTGATCGGTACTAAGATCAAGCTCATCTAAAATAGAACCATCATCATTTCTATCCGACGATTGTATAAACTCGTTTTCTATTTTTGTGCGTTTGTTATGATGTTTTGTAAATTCTTCTATTTGTGAACTAGATTTAGATCTTAGTATATTTTCTGTCAATATGGTCGATGACGATCTTGTTCTTTGACATTTCGAATTTTTTCGTTTGGTACTTGCCTTAAGCTCAGAATTTTGTTGAAACTTTTTAGTAATTTCTTTATCATTAGAAATTGACGACGACTTATCCGTTTTCTTAGAATTTCTTAAACAAGTTTGAACAGTATCTTCAGAAATTTGAGAAGACTTAGATGTCTTTGACAAAGCATCCTGTTCAACAGAAGTTATTAATTCTTGTATCGTTTCAGTATTTACTGCAGTATCTCTGGAAGATGGTTCTTTCTCTTTTAAAGAAGTTACACTTAGAAAATCAACTTGTGACGATTTAGATTTCTTTGATAATTCATCTACTAAAGTATCAGATTCTGACTTAACATATTCTGTAATTGAGTTATCTAAATCTTGTTGCAATGATTGTAAACTAATAGTCTTTTGTTTCTCATGTACGTGCCCAGCTACATTCACGCAATGTCCTTGCATCAATTTGGATTCAACATCAAGCTGATGAGATCTTAATTTAATAATATCTCCTTTAGGCATTTTATCTTCAAATTTACGCGATCTCAATTCGTATTTCAATTTATTACTACTCTTCGGTGAATTAACAATATATTTGTTTGATGATTTTAAATCTTCTTCGTTTAATTTATCATATTTTAATAATGAAACATTAGACTCGTCTACCAAATTTGCTATTTTTTCAGTACTCGATAAATCTATTATCTGAAATTGCGAATCATTTTCTGTTAATGCCAATTTTGAATCCATATGTGATTTATCGAGTAGAGATTTATCGTGTAGAGATTTATCAGAATCAACTAAAGAACTCATCGAACTGTTACTACGAATATCATAACCTTTCATTGGTCCACATGATCTACGTGGAGAATGACTATCAGCACTTCTTTTTAATTTTGTTAAAATATTTTTCGTCGACATTTGAGGATTAAGCGTATTCCTTTGCTTTTGTAACATTACTTTACGTTCTTGACTTGCTATTTTATGAAGTTCTTTCAATCTATGTGAAAATAAAACAAACAAAACCAAAAAATATTACATAACGTTATTCAAAGTAATAATAATAATAATAATAATAATGAATAATACTAAAGAATAATTTATAATCACTTACCTATTCATTTCATCTTTCTCCTGTTGTAATTTTAATAATAAAGCTCTTTGCTTTTTCTTAACTGAACTAATACGACTATCTTGACCAGTATCCCTCAATGCTCTTTTTTGCTCTTCCAGTTTAACTAACTTTTTGGTTTTATCGTGTAATGTTTTTTCACGTGATTTAAATAACATTTCTATTTTGTCATATCTCGTTTTTTCATCTTTTATCAATTGTGCTATCTAATGAAATAAAAGTACAATATTATTTTTTAAATGTCACAAATATATGCATTCATGTTGAGAAATAAAACCAAAAAAAAAGGAAACATGTGTGCAGAACACACGTGTTAGAAGTGAAATCTTCAAAAAAAAAACTAAGTTTCGAGAGAATAAAATGAATACAAAATATCTGATGTAGGATAATTGTATTCTTTCGGATTTTTTCAAATCACATCCATTCTAAAGAAGTTTTCACTTTAATAATAATAATAATAATAATAATAATAATTCCTGGTCTTACCTCTAAATCGAGATGTTTGTTAAAAGAACAAGTTACATCTCTCGTAGAAATACTAATTTCTGTACCAGTTTCTGTTTTAATAGAAGATGTAGTTTCATGTAAACTGATTTCTGACATTGTTCTTACTTTACTAGGTAATGAAAGATCTTCTAATTCCAAATCTTCAAATTGATCTCTAGAGCCTAAAGAAAGTAATGGAATTTCATAATTTTCTAAAGACAATTCATGTCCATGAGTATTTTTATGAATTTCCAAAAAACTATTAGTTAAACTACGTCGACTTGGATATATGTCAGTTTGAGTTCCAATATCATTCACTGTTTGTGTTTGAACTTCTGCTACTTCAATGATTGATTTATTTCTTTTTCTTAAATTATTATTTTGCTCTTCTGTTTCATCTTTCTTCGTGAATGCTTGTTCATCGATGGAAGAAGCTTCATCGATTTTACTTATCACTCGTTTATCACTAACAACTTTTTCTAGGCTTGTATTGTCATTAATTTGTGATACTATTATAAAAAAAAAAATAAGATTATAATTAAATTGTCATTTTAAAATCTATGTGTGTATAATGTATTATATTAAAATTATACAATAATAATAATAATAATAATTTACCTCTATCAGCATTTTTCTTATCTATTGTAGAACTTTTTCCCATATTATCTAAATGTAATATAAATTCACCGGCAGCTTGACTTTGTTTCTGTATTAATTCTTTTTCTTGTTCACTTTTTACATTGTAAAAACTTTTCTCCACATCCATAACTTGTCTCAAAGATTCATTCATCGAATCTAGTAAATGTAATTCTGCTTGAAATTGCATATGCAAAGCGGTCGGATGTAGCTGAGAAAAAGAAAATGCAATATTAATTAAATTTTATAATTTTACAAAATTAATACACACACACACACACACACACACACACACCCATATATAATAATTAGATATATACTCACAAGTTGTATTCCATGCTGAATTGTTTCTGGTTTTGCAGATGTTTTATACTTCGAAGTTTTTGCAGCATCAACATTGACATCATTACCCTGTACCACTGGTTTTTTTCTTTTCGATCGAAATATAAGATTCATATCAGGTGTAACTAAATCACGAAATTCTTCTTGCGTATAATTATTATCTCTAAAAGTTATCCATCGTGGATCTAGCAAGGCTTCTGGTAATGAGCTTTCATTTAAATCAGTTAAATCATTATTACTACTTTGAAGTTTATTAGATAGATTAATATCTTGAGAAAAAGCTTCATTTTTATTACTACTTGTGTCTTGTACAGAAGAAGAATCTTCATTATAATTTGAATGTTCATAATTTTTTCCAGATTTTTTCAAATATAAACTTTGAATTGTTTGAAGTTTATCAGTAGTATCTTTATTCTGTGATAATTCAGTAAAAACTGTGGAACATGTGTTGTTGCGTTTTTTTAAACTGCTGTTAGAATCAGATATAATTTCAACATCACCAGAAGTATCTGAATATGTAACATAATGTTTTCCTTCAATCCTATTTATAGACGTCTTAGTTTTGTTATATATTCTTTTATTATACTCTTTAATTCCTATACCTGCTTGTTTATTAACAGACTGACTTGATACTTTATTCTGTTGTTTCACTTGTTTATTCTCCAATTTATATTTGTGCTCATCAGTTTGTTGTTTCATTGGTTGCAAATCTTCTTTGCATTTATATTCTATGCTATCAAATACTATATTTTTAACTGTATCTTTGATTACATTTTTTTCCGATGATTTTGTAGTACGATCAGAATGACATTCATTATTACCTGTCTTATTTTTACATTCTAAAGAAGTGTCTCTTAATTTTGCAGATTGTAAATTCGAACATCTATGCTTTTTATCACTATCCTTTCTAGCGGTAGAAGTTGCAAAATTTTTATTCTTTGGTTTAGTCAATACAAAATCACATTCTCTTGGTACAAATAAAGGCAAACGATCACTTTTAACTCTTCCTCCTAATGATACAGAACTGCTAGTATTGTCTGTAATATCTTTTCTAGAAACGTGTCTTGGGCTTTTAGATCTTTTACTAAAATCCGAAGAAGAATACAATATTTCATCACTTTTTGTATACAAAGAATCATCCTTTCTTATTCTCTTAGATCTATTTTCCTTTTCCCTAGAATTTTCTCTAACGTGTTCTTTCTTTTTCGAGAAACTAGATGCTATTGAAAAATTAGGTGCTTTCAATGGTTCAACATTTTCACAAGCTACTACTGATGATGGCCCCTCAGACAATGAAAAGTCTAATTTTCTTTGTACTCTTTCCCTCGATGTTTTTTCTGATCTTTCAGGCACAAAATCATTGGATGATACAGCCAATTTTATTCCAACAACATCTTTCGAAATTGGATTGTCTTTAGTAGAATAATCTAAGGTCTTAGATGACATTTTTAAATCCGGTACCTTTATCGGCTCTCTAAAAGCCATATTTTGCATCGATTGATATAAATTATAATTGCTACTAAATTTGAATTCTTTCGAATATACCTCGGCTTCTGTTTTATTATCAGAATCGTATAATTTCTTCTGTGTATTAGGTTGATCACCAAGAGATAATTTTCTTTTAACTGCACTGATAAATGTAAATGGATATGGTTGAACTGGATGAAAAGACAACAAATTTTCTACATTTTTAAAATCAATTTGCGATTTCTTATTAGACGTTTCTTTCAAATCTTCTTTACTATTATCTACTTGATGCTTTTTTAATCCAAGATGTGTCTATAATTATAAAAACAAATCTTATAATAAGAACATTTCTAATAAAGTTCAGAAATCCACAACTACCAACCACCACAATGTACAAATAATTATTTACTTACATTAACCAAACTTTCTGCACGTTTAACAATAATATCTGGATCATTAAAGAAGACATATTTTTTTTTAAGGCCTATGTCTTCCTTCTTATCATTACTATTCATATTTTCATTATTAAAAGATGTAGATACTTCTATGTATAACTACTTTTTAGTAAATCTATAGATTTACGCATATACGGTCTTTCCTTATTAACTATTGCTAAAAATCAAAATCAAAAGTCAATGAAAATAAGAAAAAAAAAAGTAATAAAATTCATAAAGCTAAAATTGAATCAAATATCATCCCCCTGCTTACTTGTATTACCAATTACAGAACACTCTATACATATAATGACAATAAATCTAACCATAAACTCTGATACTTCTTGTTATTTGAAAAATGTGCATTTACTTTTAAAGATGTTTTAAGTATGATTCATAAATGAATAATAAATATTATTAATGAAAATAAAATAATAAATAAAACTTACACTAAGTCATTTTGTTGTTGTTGTTGAGAACATAAGGTACAGAAGAATTCCAAATCAAAGTAGTGCACTTAATTGAACATATTTAAAGATACCTCCTCCCAAAGAAATCATAACCTATATTATAAAGAAAAATCTGCTTACATTAACTGATACTTATATATCTTCTATGTAATACTGACAGTTATAATTAATTATATATGTATATATGTACAACTAATTAAAATGATAATATCTTTGTTCTGATCATAATTCACATTACAATCACGACACTAGACAGGATCGTCGTCTTAAACTGTGTCTCTACAACGGTCATTTGTATACGGTAGATCACGTGGTACTCAAGAATTTACTATTCTGCAAAATTAAAGATGGCAACAATGGAACGCATATAATCGATAATACTGCACGTATATGCATCAAATAAAAAATATAAAGAAATACAAAATGAATAAACGTTAAAGTATTATTTAACTGAAGTAATTTATGATGAAAAATGTATGCAAAATAAATGATTGTTTTTTTCAAAATGTTATTAAATCAAAATTTGGCATAATTTGTTATAACTAATTTGAAATTATGCACACGTAAAGAGACAATTAAACGATTTTCACCTGATTTCAACTTTCTGTGATAGATTTTTGCAATATCTCAGTAATGTCACTCTCTAATGTTCAATTAAATATTAATTTTTTTTTATAATAATATTACATTTTGAACACTAAATACATTAAACTTATTGTATTTATTATTATCTTTATGAAAGAATGTATCTTTGCAAATATCTAGTAGGTTAGCACAGTATCTCAGATTTGAAGGATCTGTTTTTTTCTGCAAACGATTGGTGGTGGTTACTCAAATCTTTCTTTTGTTTTATTTGACACAATTATAACGAAAATATTACGAGTAAATTGTATTATAAGAAAAAAAAACAACAAAAAAACAAAAGAAAAATACAATTTAAATTTGTAGATTTAAAAAGCTTTGATCTGAAATACAAAACAAAATTATTTACAATAAATTAAGAATAGAAAATATTTTCAATAACGATTCTATTTAAATAATTAACCACTACACTTTACCTGTTGCTTATGTATTGTTTGTATGTGATGAACATCGATATATAATAACGGTAAATATATATATATATACACACGCACGCATGTACATTTTAATAGTTCAACTTTTTTCCTCTAGATGGCGAATGAGATCAGTCATTGAAAAGAAAAAAATATCCCTACTCGGAAATAGTTCATTGATGAGACAAAAAACAACTAGAAATTTGAAGACTTCTGAAGAAAATCACCATTTATATTTAAAAAGTAAACAATGTTGTCAAAAGAATCAAAAGAAAATGACTATTAATTAAATATATAAATAAATTGAAATTAAATTTAGCACAGCCATTTGCCCGGTAGTACTTGCGTTACATATTTTACAATTAGGTTTATATATATCGCAAGTAATACCGACCCAGGTCTCACCACGAGGAGGTTGCTGTGTTTGGAGACCCTCAGACTAAGACACACTCTATTTTTACATTTATTTCTATTTTTTTTTTTTTTACAATATTCTAATATATTCTAATAATATTTAAAATTATTTAAAATAAAGTACATTTGTTTTAACGTTTCTACGCAATGATAACTTTGAAAGTAAAATTATCATCTAATAAAATAATAGATCGAAATTATTTAATATTCAAAGTATATTAATAGGTATTTAATGTTTAAAACAATGTATAAATGTTTAAACAATTATAAATATTAGTAGAGAACAAAACTATGCTTGATATACCTTAAATAATTATTAATTAATTGAAAAGAATGTGTATTGTTAGTTAAAATCACCAAGTATATGAACGGTACACCGTATTCCTCGGAATTCACCTTCAGACTGGCACGTTGTCCTCTATCAAAATTCTTTTATTCAATGTTGTTGATATGACTGTTTGAATGATACGCATGTGTACAACGATAATAATATTCTTGATAAAGAGAATGAAAGATTATAACGTTTTAATTTGAACATTTTTTGTTCATTCTAATGTATTATTTTATCGTTGTTGACAGTGATGACTTCGAGGGTTAAATTAGAGGACGGTCTAACGGGGGATTTCAAGGAGTACGGTGCACCAATCATATACACTGTACTTTTACATAACAATATACAATTTTGTCGATTAATTAACAATTATTTTTGGTATAATTTTTTACTCTAATATAACTCTACTTATATTTAAGATTGTTTAAACTATAAATACATTTAATATTCTAAGAGTTTATTAATAGATGTGTATTTTTTAAACACACACAAATGTACTTTATATTATTCTTATTTTTTAATGAGTATTAAACAAATTTGAAATTCGACTCGAAGACTATATTATAATGCATGAGATAAAACGTAATGAATGAGAATAAAAAGAAAATATTTAAACGATTATTTTACATGATACGTTAATATAGTACAAAACAAAAAAATGAATTTAGAATAATATGATTCTATGAAGTTAAAGGAAAAATATAAGGATCGTATAAAACATTCAAGACGCACAACATTATTTATTAAAGTCTAATACTCGATCGTTACGGTTTTTGTTTTGAGATATTCGTTGAGTGCTTCTTGTCCAAGATCTTTTCCAAATCCTGACATTTTGAAACCACCGAAAGGTGCTGCTACGTCTGTTTTATTGTAAGTATTTACGAATACCGTACCAGCTTCGATTTTTTCAACAAATCTCAATGCTTTAGCAATATCTTTAGTTAATACTCCAGATGCCAAACCATATTCTGTATTATTAGCCCTTCTTATTATATCGTCCATGTTTTTACCACTAAATTTAGAAATCACCATAACAGGACCAAAGGATTCTTCCTTAGCTATATACATATGATCTTCAACATTGGTAAAAATCGTTGGTTCGAAATACCATCCCGGACGATCTATACGTTTACCACCATAAACCAACGTAGCACCTTCGTCGATACCATATTTAACGTATTCTAGAAGCTTGATGAGATGATTTTTATGATTTTGTGGCCCATGAGCCGTACTTCGATCGAAGGGATTACCTATCGATATCTTTTTCGTTTCTTCGATTATTCTTCTAACGAATTCATCGTGAATAGTTTCTTCAATAAAAATGCGGCCTATATAACAAAATAAAAAAAAAATTAATTAAATATCAATGTGAACATAAAATATATCATTTCATAAATTCTTTATACGTACCAGCAGCAATACAATTTTCACCCTTGTTAAAGAATACACTGCCCATTCCTATTTTCACAGCTTCTTGAAGATCAGCATCCTCGAATATGACTAAAGGACTTTTACCACCAAGTTCTAACGAGACTTTTTTCAAATTACTTTCGGCGCAAGATGTCATAATTGTTTTACCAATTTCCGTGGAACCAGTGAAACCAAGTTTTCTGATAAGCGGATGATTAACTATAGCGTTACCAGTTATAGAACCATTACCCGGAACAATGTTTATAACACCAGGAGGAATACCAGCTTTTACACTAAGTTCAGCGAATTTTAACGCAGTTAATGGTGAAGCTTGAGCTGGTTTCATCACAACCGTATTACCGGCTGCTAAGCAAGCTGCCATTTTCCACGAGAGCATCATCAAAGGATAATTCCATGGCGTTACTAAACCACAAACCCCTATCGGTTCCTTTCGCGTAAATGTCAAATTTCTATTAGGTCTGGCATGAGATATTGGTATAGTTGAACCCTGTATCTTATCGCACCAACCAGCAAAATATTTCCAAGTTTCTATGGACATGCCAACGTGTGTTTTTAAAGCTAATGTGTAAACTGCACCAGAATCTAACGTTTCTATGGTTGCCAATTCTTCTTTATGTTTTTCCATCAGATCTGCCAATCTAAACAAAAAAAATTGTATTCGTTAAAAAAACAAACTTCTTATAAAAATATTTAACAATAATTTCGATAATTCGATGAATACTAACTTATACAATAATTCTCCACGTTCCCTAGCACTAATTTTACCCCATTCACCTTCCTCGTATGCTTTTTTCGCAGCTTTTACAGCACGATCAACGTCTTCCACCGATGCACTCTGTACACTACAAATAACGCTCTCGTCGTGTGGATTAATCGTATCGATCGGTTTACCATGTCCATTAACAAATTCTCCATTTATAAAAAGTTGTTTTGGAAACTTCAAATCCATGTTGTTAACTCGTAATTCTACGGCATCGTATTTAATATCTTTAGTTGCTGTATTACCACGTGCCGTCAAGATAACAGTTCCTACGAATTGCATAAAAACGGGTGCCATGAAGACGTGAATATTTTGCAAATTCACTCCTAAATTGTCCTTGACTTCTTCGACTAATCTAACGACGTCCATACTTTTGCCACCTAAACAGAAATGAATTATTAATGTATTGATTATTATCAAGTTCACAAGTTCTATTAATTTCCTGTTAATTATATCAATAAATTAAGATTATCTAATCTATATGATTACTTCATTTTGAAATGAAATAAAAAAAGAAACAACGATAACCTACCGGCAACAAAAAAATCCGTATCATCTTCTATATCCATGCTAAGTATGCCTTTCCAAATTCGTCGTAAAACATCTTTACTCTTCAATTCTTCTTCCGTCAATTCCAACATATTGTTCTCTTCACTTTGACCATATTTACTAGCATGAATGGTTCTAGTACCAATCTTGATTCTTTCAACATTAACAAAATTACCGTCGACTGTTTCGATCAACAAACCACCATCGTGAATTTTTCCTATTCGATCGTCAACGTTGATTTCACTTTGAACTTTGGGTAAAGTTCCATTCCATAAAGTAGAACCATACAAACGTACTTCCTCGTTGTTAATTAAAGTCAAAGCACCTGGTGTACTATCAAGACCACGAATAAAATCGTGAATTTTCTTTGCGGATTTTGACCAATCAATCTTTTGAAGTTCTTTTTTATTTAATAGAGGATCATAGGTTGCACCTATTTCTGATTGCGGTATAACAGGGGCAGTACCTTTCGCTACTAAATTAACAGCTTCAACCATAGCTTTGATACCTTCGGGATACAGATAATTATTATACAAAGTATCCAAGGTATCGTTTATTTCTATTTTATATGATTTTTGAAGTAATATTGGTCCAGTGTCGAGACCATCGTCAGCCCAAAATACTGAAAATCCTGCCATATCGTCGCCTTCTATTAAAGTCCTATTCAAAACATTGATATATTTGTTAATTCCATTTGAAATGTCAAGTTTCTTAGAATAAGTCATTGACCGGAATCATTTAATAAAAATATATGCCTTAGATATAATTATCTAACATTAAGTCAGCCTACATATACGCGAGAAAGTAGTCAAGAGAAAGAAACGATTTCGCCACAATCTGAACCAAACCGGTTCTACTATACTATAGTAATTCTCTACTTAAACTTCGATCTTTTATTCAATTGAAAAAATTGATAAAAATTTGTTCAAAGAATTCTTTAGAATTTTTTTATTGATTTGATTTAGAAAAAAAAAACAAACAAAAAAACAAATATGCGATAACTTATCGTATAAACAATAAATAGTGTAAAAGATTCATGATGAATTATCTTAGTCTATTTCAATATGTGCATCAAAGGATTAACAAATCATATTAAATATATTATTTCTTAGATAATTATAATATCTTATCTTATTTAATAAAAAGTTATAAGAAAAATATTGTACTCTTACCAATTGATAGCACTAGCTCCTCTATGTCTAGGTAATAATGACGGATGATAACATATGCTACGATAATGAGGACGATTGATAACTTCCATTGGTATGAATTGACTGCAGAAGGGTAGTACGTTTAAATCAACTTTGATACTTTTATATGTATCAAGTACTTCAGGTATGGGTACACCCTTATTTCTCCAGGATTTAATTTTAAAGACAGGCGTCTTATCAATATTTGCTGCGATGGCTAGAATTATTAAAAATCAAATCAAATAGACAAGTTAAATAATGCATTCTTTTTCTTATAAACTGATAATTTCTTTGTGTATCACAGAATGCAAATAAAATACATTTAAATTTATTGAAAAATAATTAGAACAAATCTTAATATCATACCTAATGGATCTTCTCGATTTCCTTTGTCAGGTATAGTAAAAACTCCAGTAATTTTATGACCATTTTGTCGTAACAATTTATAAACTTCAGCTGCGAAAGGACTCTGACCGATGATTGCTATATTAAGTTGTAACATCTTTGTTGCCTATATTCACAAACAATTTGTTTACATTTAAACAATAATGGAATTCCTTTGTCGGAAATATCGATTGTTTTAAATGAAACGTTTATATGTTTTTTTTTAATTATAATACATATGTACAATGATACGATTACAATGCTTAAGTTTTGACGACAGATAAATTCAAAGAAATGGATCTAACAATAAGAATTAAATAACATGCTCATTTATTGTTATCTTTGATTTCAAGTAGCGATTTATTCGTTAAATATATCGATTAAATGATACGATTATTTTAATTATGCTCGATTATGCAGTCTTTGTTAGTTTCGTGATAAAAAATCAAGCGTGTTAATGTTATCTGTGTTTTCCCTCTTTGTATTTTTTTGTTTAATACCTTCAACCAAAATACGTACCTATTTATCTACAGGAAGGTATAAGGTTGAGAGATGTTTTGAATAGTACGTTTATGCAAGCTGTAAAAAGTAATGGTACATTTGTTTTTTTTTAATTAATTAATTAATTAATTAAGGAAGGAAGCTTACTATACTATTATTTGCAATAGTGTTATATCTATAAATTATTTAAAATACTATATATTTACATATGTACATGTTAGTAATTAATTGGGTATCTACAAAACAAATAAATATATAAATATAATGATATAGTGAAATCTGGTTATTATAATCACGTAGAATATTATCAATCGATTATGATAACTATAATCAATTGATCTCAGAGAGTGACGATTCAATTTTTTAAAAATAAAATAACAATTTTTAGCAAACTCATACTACATGGACTTATTCTTCAAAACTTTCTTTTAATCGTAACATTGATTTTAATCTTTTATCTTAGTATACATGACAAAAATTCATAAAAAATATATAACAAAATTCAAAAGTTATCATAATAAACAAAATTCACTATATCATTCATTTCTATTATACTTGGGAACAAATAATACATATTTTCTCATCGTTAGTAAATTAATCGTAAAAATAAATAAATAAATTATTATTAAAAATTATTCGCGAAAGAATTATTAAACTACTTTGTAAAATAAAAATTAAAAGATTGACTTACGGAATTTACAAATGTACGGCAAAAGTGAAGATTTGCGAAAGTTAACATTGGACCAATCTCTTGTATAAAAATATTTTAATAATTATCATTTAAAATTAGAAATAAAATAGATCGATAAATCTAAATGAAATAAATTAATCGTTGAAATTATTTCAAATTCGTATATTACACTCGGTACCCACGTAAGAAGAGATCAAGCTCCCATTCGTTGCAACGTTAAACTGATTCAAATGGAAAAACGAACAAGGTTTATATAAGCCGTTGATATCGCTCTCCGAGAGGGTCAAGAACTGCATGTATTCCTTCTTGATTTTCTTTTAAATGACACAATATATACTTTATCAAAAGAGACACGTTTTACATAGTATTTTTTTTTTTTTATGTATTAATAAAGAAAGTCATTAAATGATGTATCGATGGATATAACGAAGAATAATATATTAATTGTATTAATACCGTGTAAACCTATGTCTTTATAAGCTTACGAAATTAATCTGTAAGATTACATGAATGTCAAAATATCTTCAATAACATAAACAAATTTATAAATAATAATAAACAAGCATGTGTGTTATATACGTGTACAAAAATTAAAGCTTTAGAGTAACATCGAAACGTTCATTTTACGTTTGATTTTATTTCTTTGAAATATATATTTTTTTTTTTCATTTGATCGCGCGTCCAATTTTTATTATCAATCGCAAATTTAAATTCAATTTTGAAATGAAATAATTTCGAGAAAAGTATTTTATATATTTATATATTTAACGTGTGACGTTGGCATTTATTTTTTTTTAAATACTATTAAAAGAGATTTATGTAATGTTTGATATATATATATATATAGTCATTTAAATGATACATGAACTTATCTATGATTTCTTTTATTTTTTTTTAAATGAATTAATCTCTGTAAAACTTTTGTCGTTATTAGTTCAAATATTATCAACTGAAACTGGAATATTCCAGTTTATTAAAAAGATTTCTTAGTATCTGTTGAATATAAATCAACAAAGTTGTTTGCAAAGGGCACATTTAAGGTCAGAAGTTTTTTAAATTTCATTTTATAATTTGATTATTTGTGTACAACTTGTTAGAGAAAGATACTTCCCCGAATTTTTTTTTCAGATTATTTATAATGCAATCCTAAATACAATTACTTCAGATTACTGAAGATATTTATTTTTTTTTTTTTTTTACTATAAAATGCAAGGAAACATATTTTTATTCATATTTAAAAGTATTATATATATATACACGTTCTACTTATGTTTAATACAATCTGTAAAAATATTGTACAATTAAACAATTCATTTTAAGCGATAATAAATACATACATGTATATGTATATACATATTTTTTTTTTTCACGGTAATTTAAATATATGTAGTTTTTATTATAATATATACAGTCCAAATAATATTTGGTATTGTAAACGTGTGAAAAAAAATGTATTTCTGGCTTAATCTCTCTCTCTCTCTATCTCTATCTTTATCTCTATCTCTATCTCTATCTCTATCTCTATCTCTCTAGGTTCTAGGTGAACATTTTTAATTTAATATAATGTAATAATGTTAATGATAATCTATGTTTTTTTAATTATATGATTTTAACGCATTGAGCACCGGCTCCGTATTAATGCGGGTTTTAGAGTCTGTCACTTGAACACCGGCCTCGCAAAGATTTTGTTTGTTATTTTTATCGATTTTGTCTTTATTTTTCATTTCTGTTTAATTTTAGATGATAAATATATTCAATAAAAATATTATCTATACTATTGTATATTTGCACGAAAAAGTTTATAATAATTAACGAATATTTAATATCTCGGTACTTTAAATTCCGAGCCTCCTTCTAAATTAGTTGCTGGTTTTCTTTTATTCATAATATTTTGAATTTTCTGCCATTCACGATCCAATTCTGCTTTTTCATTCTTTTCTTTATTATATTTCCTAGTTCTTCTGCCATCAGCCATTTTGACTCCATATTGAAAAGCTGCTTTTGGCAGTGCTTCTTTATTATTCATATATTCGCTATATTCTTCTGGTGTATCAAAATCCCATCTACCAATAGGACCTTTTTTATTGCCCAAATCCATTTTTGTATAATCCACTTCATCGTCTGAGTCATCTATAGCATCCTGCATTTCGTCCAAACCTGGATAACACTCAGCATAACCTTCAGGCTCAGCAGCCAATTTATTAAGCAGTGCTCCCTTCTTAGGTACATTAGTTTCAATAATTTGTGGCAAAGTACTTGGTAATTGTGGAGTATTTGCTTTATCATCTGTATCTATATTATTCTCTGGCTTATCAAAGTATGAACCTTTCTTTTTATCACGATGCTGTATGCTCTCTTTTCTTCCAATAGTGGGAACATAATCACCAATATCCCCATAAATACTTTCATCCTGTGGTCTTGGAGGAAGATCCATGTCATTTGTATCATCAGCTCTCGAACGACCATCCTTATTTTTCTTACCTTTTTTTCCATGTCGATTACCTTGTCTTAGGTATGATAAAATTTGTGCCAATTTATTTATCACTATATCATTGGTCGTTAATGTTGGTGTATTCTCCACAGTAGGAACATCTGCTTTACTTCTAATTAACGTCGTCGGAATATCTACATCAGCATTTTCATCATCCAATTCTATAACATATGCCATTCGTCCTGGTGTAAAAAGTTCATTCCTTTCTATTTGTTTTGACTTCATAGTCAAAATAGTCTTATAAATATTACGACCAATTTTAGTTTTAAATTGCATTTCGTCTTCCTTTTTCTCTGGTTCTTTCTTCTCTTTTATCTTTTCTTTTGGTTTTACTAACTTTTCCATTTCTTGTTCTTGTTCGTGTTCTTTAGCTTCTATCTCACTACGTACCTATTGATAAATAAATCATTATTTTTATTTCTATAATGAAAATATATAATCTCATCCGATAATGAAGATATAAATAAATCATTAATTATAATTACTTTTTGTAAAAGGGCATAATCTAATCCTTTTACTAAATGAGTATGTTCCATATCACCTCCCAAGAATTTAGATTGTTGAATCATTTGTCTTCTACGTTCTGCTGCATCCATGCCTGATTTTAAATCAGGTGCTACAGCACGATATGCGCTAGCACTATTCATAGGATCTTCCGCTTGATAATCTTGATTTGTTCCATCTCTACGTTCTCTCGCTCTGTCTCGATATTTTTCAGCCAACTCTGCCATTTTATCTTCCTCTTGTTTCTTAAGTTTAGCATAAAAGCTCTTTTTCTTTCTACGTAACTCTGCTCTACTACCTCCAGTAACAATAGGTGTTTGTGCTGTCTTAGCACTAGCATCTCGAGCTGTGCCTGGAACTGATGCTGGTGTAGCTGAAGGAGCAGCTGCTCTTGGTGTCATCAATAATTTTCGAAAATCATCATTCGTTAAACGAACTGACATACTCATATCTTCCTCCATGGTTTCTGGCATTTTTAATATATTTGTTTCTAACCTAAAATTTCAAGTTTCATATATTAATATCATATATACATAAATATATGACATCTTATTGTATAATTTATTAATATTATTACTTTTATATATTATATTACCTTTGGATATCGATAAAAGATAAATATTTCGTCGAAATTTATATTAATACAAATAATATTACATATGACAACTATCAGATAACCACTGTTAATGCACTGTCGGTTCTTCAAGTGAATCTGCGCATGCGCAAAATATGACGTCATAAATTTGCCTTACTATTAAATCAATTTACTACTATAAATAAATATATATATATATATATAATTGAATTTTATTATTTTATCAATCTCCTTATTTTTTCTAGTAAAATTAAAATAATTGTCGAAAAAAATAAGGAAAGTTAATTTTTATCTACTATTCTATGAATTATCATAAAGTTTATTCTCAATACTTTCGTTTGGCAGTAAAAAATAATTTAAATGTACAAAATTGAATATATATTTTAATGTTTAACTATTAATCATTTTTGGTTTTGTTTATAATAGTAGCAGAAAACTTTATATATCATTAAAAAGACATTAACAAACATTATCATATAACATTAACGTAATATGTTTTTTTTATGCAAGGTACAGTTAATAATTTAGGTTCTCCAAATTCAGGATTGCTAACATAAAATGGAAAAGAAGGTATGCCATTACATGCTGCTCCAAATTGTCCATCCTTATTTAATGCAGTAATTGCACCAGTAAAATTAGGATAATGTTCTGCTATTCTACTTATAGCTGTTTGAGCTGCTTCTGTTGGTGTAGCACCACGGCGCATTTCTTCTACTGCGAGAAAACTATTAAAAATAAAAATATAATAAAACATTATTCAACTTATCATTGCATTTTTTTTTTTTTTGAAATAATTCGATGTACAATTTGTATAATACCTGGGTGAGAACCGCATCATAATATCTCCATCACCGGTACCATGAGCTGCACCAACTTGTTGATCAGCATATGCACCTGCACCTGGTATGGGAGAGTCTCCAATGCGACCAGCAATCTTATGATTTGCACCATTGGTGGAAGTTCCAGCAGCTATATGTCCATTTTTATCTATTGCTATGACTCCTATCGTATCATGATTTTCTTCATTTGAATACGATATTTCTTCATAATTTTTTGGTTCCATAAATGTGTTCATAATATCAATTGGTTTATAAGGACCACAAGTAGTTTTTGGATTTGGTTCAACATTCTAAACAAAATTGTATAATGATTTATAAATAGATCTTTGTTATAAAATATTATATTTAATAAATAAGATATTTTTCAAATCAGTGATTAATGGTATAATTCACAAAAGTAAGATACCTTCCAAAAATTCGGCTGACATTGATTGTCTTTCCATTTCTTCCACATATCTCGAGATTCTGCAGTTTGTAAAGATTCTAATTTAAATCCCATTTTTATAGCAAAATTTGTAGCAAGATCTCCACCAAGAAATGAATGTTCTGTATGCTCTAATACTTTACGAGCAACAGATATAGCACTTTTAACATGTCTTAATCCTCCAACCGCACCCACATCCATTTTGACCCTATTACCATTCATTTAGAACAAGTCAAAATATATATATAGAAAATAAAATATAAATTAAATAATAAAGAAATATGTTCAAATAATTATACCCATCCATAATCATAGCATCCAATGTTGTTTCTCCTGACTCATCGGGACTACCACCAAATCCTACAGTTTTACGACATTGCATTTGTTCACATAAAGAACAGCCAGCTTCAACAGCATCTATAGCACTTTTTTCTTCATTATTTATAACATTCCATGCTTAAAAAGAAAATAATTAATGTATTAGTTATATATAAATAAATTTCATTCATTTGTAATCAAATTATTTAAAGATATACCTTTTTCTGCAGCTTCTTTACTATTCCAAGATAAAACTACCAAAGGAATGCTCTTACTGTCATCCGCTAATATATATGAAAAAAATAAAAATATAAGGATGAAAATTGGAGTAATATGCTTAATAGAATGCATCTTGTAATTATCAATTACAGACTAAATTTCAATACTATGCAGTCATCTTTTATAGTACTTGATCTTTGATCTTTAAACAAAATGATAGCATTGAAAATATTAGGTATGTACACAATACTGATATTATGTTAAAATATTAGTATTAAAGTAACAAATGATAGCTCATAGCAGCTGTCAATGATATGCAATAAAAAAAAAAACTGGTAAATAACTTTGTAAGATTATTTCTGCAGTTGCATGTATATGTGCATACAACTGCAGAAATCAAAAAATAAATATAAATTCATATAAAAAAGATTTCCATTATTTTTTTATATCTATTATTTAATTATACTTTAATCTTATAATGTATGTAATTAATTATATAAAATAAATAATAAGATGTTAATAATAATAAAACTAAAGTTTGACAATACAATTGAAATCGAAAAAGAGGCGCGCTTTTTAAATTGCCTTATCGAGTATTGATCGATAATAAATATTTGATGAAAATAAATGAGATATATCAAATGTTAACGAATAATTTCAATATTTATTTTTAATTTCTTCGATAAGATTTTCATTAATTTGCTTTTGTTTTTTTTTTTTTCAAAGATAAAAATATCATTGTCGATAATTTTACAATCGATATTGAACAAATAGGTCAAAAATCTCGATATAACTCTCATGTACTTTCTGACCAATTTAACAGGACCGTGATAATAATAATTTATAAAGATATATGACTAATTTGTGAAATTAAAGTTAATTGATAATAGATAAACTTATACATTATCATTATAAACGATTATAATTACAAAATACATTAACTCAAAGTTATAAATAATTGAATATTATTTTTTACAATTGTAACCTAAAATTTGTATTATTGTCATTTTATTTTCATTCCTCCGTCATAACAATGTCTTTTAAGAATGATTTAAAATTACTTTTACGTCCATATTATTTAATTAATATTATTCTTAGTATCTCTTATATGTGTACTAAAAGACTTCCTTTCATCTGTCATTATATATTTGCCCAATCAGATTGTGAATTTGATGGAGTAAGTAATAATTCATTTTCTATTAATAATTATAAAATTATAATTATAATATATTATTATATAATTATTTATTTCATTATTTCAGAAAGAAACAGAAATTCTGTTTTTTCTCATGATAGTAATAATGATTAGAACACGAAAAACTGGAAGTGTAACTATGATCAATTATTTATCATCCAGTTTTGTTTATACTAAAGTTGCCAATTTGGTTTTATGGTTTTATGCTGATATACGTATGGGAATTTTGTTTGCAATTATTTTCATCCGTATGTATTTATGAACAAATATAATAAAACTCTCTTATTCTTGTTGAATTAAAAAACATATCATAATATATATATATATATATGTATGTGTGTGTATTTACAGTATGCGGTTTAATACTGCCCGAACCTACATATCAAGGACCAGAAAAAATTATTTATTTACGTGGTGCAAGTGGATTGCAAGAAGAGTTAATGCGAGATACTAAAATAGTTTGGATTGTAACATTCTATACTGCGTGGAATCCAGCTTGCGTTAACTTTGCTTCAATCTTTTCTGAACTTTCAGCAGAGTGAGTATACTTTGAATATACAAATATTTTTGTTTATATAAATACATTAAAAACAAGATCATATGATACAGATATGCTCTGGATAATTTGAAATTTGGTAAAGTGGATATTGGAAGATATCCTGATGCAGGTGTTAAATATCATATTAGTGATGCTAGTACTAGCAAACAGTTGCCTACTGTGATACTATTTAAAGATGGAAAGGAAATAGAAAGAAGACCACATGCTGATCATAGGGGCAAACTTGTTAAATTTCTTTTTTCTATGGTATATATATATATATTAATTAAATTAATTTCGTAATAATCTATAAAAGTATACAATGTGTATGTTCTTATATTATCATAATTTTGTTTCTATTTTTTCATAATATGAATATTTCTTTTCTAGGATAATGTAAAAGCAGCATTTGATCTTAACAATGTCTATAAAGAATGTAAGAAGAATCATAGTAAAAGAAAAGAAAAGAAAGCAATAAAAGCTGAATAATTCTATTGAAATATTTAATAATAGTATGAAATAGTAAAGTTTATTTGAAATGATTTCTACTATGTAGAAAATCATTTAATATAATCTTCATAAACCAAAGCTTAGTTCAAAAAAAAAAAAATTTCAAAGCTCTGTAAATACTTCCATTAGATTCATTTACTTTATAAGAAATTTTGTTAACAGTCGTGTTTACTATTATATTTTTATTGTTAATCTGTTATAATATATGAATTTTCTTTGAATGCAAATATTAATTATCGATTACTTGTCATATACACATATATATATATATATATATATATATATATTAAAATATACAATGTGCATAAAGAATTCATTTATATAAATTTTTTTAGTATTCATATATATAATGATATTTTTATGAATATATATTAAAAATTATTTATTTATAATATTACATATTAAGAAATGTATAACTAATTGTAGATTAAAAAATGATTAGCATCTAATTAAATGATTTTGTTAATAATACTTATACATACTCATATATCACATATTTACATGTTTACAAATAGACAATATAAATTATATTGGAGGCCATAATAAAGATACTTCCGAATGTATCGATTCTGGTAACCACTTCTGATAAGCAGATAAAAGGTCTAGAAAAGAATATAATTAATATATGAAAATAAAATTTGAATAATCAATATTGCTAAGGTACATATATATATATATATATATACTTACAAGTTTTATCTTTATCCCAAAATTCTATTAATTTACGTTTTGACATAATTCCTTCTGATATTAAAGTTTTTGTTATTGCTTCTGTACGTGGTAATAATCTAAAAGACAATTTTTTATTTAATGATTTATAATATCAATGAATTGTAACATTTACAAGACAATATGCAAAAACATACTTAGCCCAAGACTTATTTACACTGGCTGGTGTAGATAACAACGAAGGTACAAATTTTTTTAATTTTGGACACACTTCACCATTTAAAAAAAATCTTGCAAACCATTTAACACCTTCTACATTCATTGGATGTTCTATTTCCATCATTGGTAATTGCCAACCAGCTCGTCCAAATGTACCTGTTATGTGACACAGAACTTTTCCAGAGTCAATGTCATATCTAAATTAAAAAACCATATTTTAATAAATAAATTATTAGTTAATTATTACAAATCATAGAAGTCTTTACAGATACACACAAATATTAAAAATAACATCATTAAAATATAATGCAAACCTTGGAGAAGGTTCCATCAGAGGTTCACTTAATTTACATAAAGTTGGAGCAAATTTTGGTAGCCATTCTGGTTCTATCGCAGTTACACCACGCATATATAATTTATTAGTTTCATATACTTCTTGATAAATAACCCATTCTGGACTTGTCTTTCGAAGAACACACGATGAATGCATAAATACAGGATCTTCCATTTCTGCAGTTCTAAAAATCAATGTATTATATTAGTACATTACAATAAAATACATAATTTTTATTATACTTACTTATATGCATGTTTCCATTTTGCTTTATCTTGATCTTCAATATCTTCTGAAGATACTTTCCGTGCAACTTGATCTGCCATACCAGCAAGAACTATTTGACGTAACAATTTTGCTTGTATATCCGTAGGAGGTGACATACTGTATTAAATAAACAAAATTATAGAAAATACTTGCATCAGTTACATTTAGTTTTTAAATAGTATTTACCTTGGATCAATAATAAGATTTACACTTGGCACATTTAAGTTTATCTCGTTAGTCAATTGCTGTCGAAGTTTTCTAATTTCTACAATTGCTTTATGACGTAAACCATTTTCTTCGCAAAAAGATACAAGCTTTCCTTTAGACCCTGCATATTCAGCTGCTCCAATTGCTTTTATCAAAATCATTGGATCGCCTTTACAATTAAATAATATATATTAAAAGGAATGCAATATACATATTGTTATTAATTTGTCAGATACAAGATTGTTTGATAATATGCATACCAAGAAGTAAACTATTGCCAATTCCAGCCCACATACGTCGTGTATGTAACCATTTATTTTTCAAATTACCCTCCATGTTTAAACCTTCTATTAATACTTCTTGAACAGAAAGAGTTGCGACCATACAAATTGTATATTGCAATAGATTATGTTGATGTGACAATGCTAACATTTTTCCATATCGTGGAGCAACTGGAAATGCTGCTATGCTGCGTCCAAGTGGAGTCACTTTTGCATTAAATGTACCTAAAATGTAATGATAATGTTTCATGAAAATGAACATAACAATCAAAATTATGATTTTTTGTTTACCTTCTTGGTATTGAGAAGAACGTTCTAAAGCACCCAGAGTTAAAAGACGCTTTTCAGCAGTTTGTAATTGTAAAGGATCTGGTGCACTTGGAAATGGAAAATTAACAACTTTATTAATATTCATAACTTTCATTTGTAAAACCAAATCATCAACTGGTTTCCTTTGAATCTCAGACACACTGAATTTTTGAAATTGGTCATTGAAAACTGCAGAAGAATATAATCTAAAAAAAGAATGATAATAAAAAAGGTATATTCATAAATGTGTCGAGTGTTATACATCGGTTAATAAATCAGAATAAATATCATACCTGTAACAATGGCCAGGTGCTACTCTACCACATCTACCTGCTTTTTGATTTGCTGAAGCTTTACTTGTAAAACAGATATGATACGTACTAACACCAGTAACTTTATCATACATTCTCATTTTGCATCGACCACAATCAACGACATATTTTATATTTGGTATTGTCAATGAAGTTTCTGCCACGTTTGTTGATACTACACACAAACGACAATTTTCTGGAGGTTTTTCAAAAACCTGTAGAAAATATTTCTTGTTAAAATTTTAACTATTCAAATAATATTGCATAATTATTAAAAGTTTATTTATACCCTTGCTTGTTTATAACTAGGGAGTAGAGAATACAGTGGTAGAACCCACAATGGTTGTGCATTTGATAAACCTTTTAAGAGATCAGCATCATCATCTTCACTTTCATCTTCATCTAAATTGCATTCCTCATTTTCATCTTCATCTTCGATATCAATAATATCTTCATGTGTATCATCCGTAGGCATTATCGAATAGCTATAAAATTATTTCCAAAAAATGTTCATAACCATTTAAAATGAAATATATGAAAAGTAAATGTTTATATGTGTACATACTTATCTAAATCAATACGTGGTAAATTAAGAGATTGTTTTTTATGTTTTTGCTTATCACGTTTTATTGCTTCTTTGTCATCAAATTCATCTTCTGAATTTTTTTCTTCATCATCATCATCATCATCATCACTTTTATTTGTTTCTTCATTTTTTTCAACTTTTTGTGTTTCTGACATATTAATTTGACCTTTTTTAAACGGAAATGCTTTACGTAATTTACTAACAACTAAATTCACTTCTCGCTGACCTATATTTTTTAAATAATATATTATTATTATTATGAAATATTAAGAAAACATAGATTTTTTATTTATACAAATCAAATATAAAAATATACCTGTTAAAAATATAAGAATGCCACCTTCTGGTAAATGTGTGTGAATTTTAATTGCTTTTTTTAATGCTTCATTGACATAATCATCGCTGGTTCTTCTATTAAAATGTATCGTTACAGGAAATTGTCTTGACTCCACTCTAATAATTGGAGGTTTAACTTTAAATAATTTCGTATTTTCAACAAATTCTTCAACGCATAATGTTGCTGACATAATGATAAGTTTCAATGGATCTTTCCTTTTATTACGCAGTGGTACAATACGAGACAATAATCCTATTAATATATCAGTATAAACACTTCTTTCATGTGCTTCATCCAAAATGATTACTGAGTACTTTGTCAATAGAAAATCCTAAAAAAAGAATATATAGACTTATTATATTTTAATTTGTTATAACATAATGAAATATGTGTCATTACATACACTTTGTATTTCTTTTAATAATACTCCATCTGTCATAAATTTAATTTTTGTTTCTGGTGTAACATTTCCTTCAAAACGTATAAGATATGAAACTTCTTTTTCAGTGAGATTCATTTCTTCTGCTACTCGTTTACTCATAGACATTGCTGCTACTCTTCTGGGTTCTGTTACACCAATTAATTTATCCCTTGCATAACCTGCTTCATACAGAAATTGTGGTACCTGTGTTGTTTTACCTATAATCATATGTTTCAATTAACATTCACATATATAATAATATTATATTTATTTAATAATAGTTTTATATACATACCACTACCCGTTTCTCCAGTAATTATCACTACTGGATTTTCATTAATAGTTTCTACAATAACTTGTTCATCTGCTACAACTGGTAATTTTAATCTAGCTGCTTGAATTTCTTCTTTTCTATTTAATGTAACAAAAACTGCTGGTGTTTTAGTTACTTCACTTTTAACTATAGTATTTGGGGATTCTTTTACTTTTAATTGTGCATCTGGTACAGTCTTTTCATGTTCATTTTCAATAGATTTGTTTTCTTCTGATTTATTCCTTTCTTCTTCCTCCTCTTCATTTTTTATAAGTTTACTTTCATTTGTATTATCATTGTCTTCTTTCTCTTGTTTACATTTTAGGTTATGGTCGTTTTCACATTCATTGTCACTACACTCGGATTCACTTTCACTAGATTCCTAAAATAAATTATACTTTATTATACTTATTCATATTTATATATCACATTTTACAACTTACATCAAATCCAATAACATTCGGATCGGAGCTAGAGATCTTCTGTTTTGTGTTGTTTAGAATAGACAGTCTTTTTCTTTTTGCACCTTTAATCGTGTTTAATTTAGATTCTGTAATATCTATAGTAGACTCATCGATTGGATTAATTAAAGTTTCTACAGTAGGTGCATTTAAATCTCTAAAGTGACGTTTCAATCCTTTTGTTTGAACTGCAGTCAAAGAAACATATTTTTTTAATTCTTCTGCCGGGGCTTGTACTTCAGCTAATTTTTCTAATAACGTTGATCTCTGTGTTTAAAACCCAACAAATTGTATACAGTGTTAGTACATGTTTTTAATGTGATAAGATTTTACTTTATTCTTTCTAACTTACTTGTAATTTCTTTTGTTTCTTTTCTACTATTTTTTCTAATTGCTTTCTACGTTTTTTAGATAATAAACGCGTTGTTTGTATCTTCTTTTCTTTATTTTTAGTCTTCCTTTTTTCATTTGGTAATACCAGAGCATTACAATTATCATAATTATCTTCTCTATGTTGTATATCTACAGGTATCTATGAAATAAAGTTAAAATATTTATAATGTCGTTAAAAAAGAAAAAAGTAATGAAGAAAATTATTCTTTTAATTATAAATAAAAAATACCTTTTTAGTTTCAGTATTATCTATCTCAATTTCAGAGACATTTCGTGCTTTCCAATTGTACCTTTTTTTCCCCATTATTCTTAATATTCAACACTACTTTTAACCACTTTGAAGAATTATTAGATAAATGACTAAATAAATAATTATTTAACACATAAACAACAATATAAAATCAATGTAAAAATTAAAAGCATCATTATCCATGCATAATAATATTGCATGACCACGTGAGAGCCTTAGTGTGCATGCTTATGGCTCTGATGCATGCGTATGGCTCTGGCGCATGCGTATGGCTCTGGCGCATGCGTATGGCTCTGGCGCATGCGTATGGCTCTGGCGCATGCGTATGGCTCTCGGCGCATGCATATGGTTCTCGGCGCATGCGTATGACTCTCGGCGCATGCGTATGGTTCTCGGCGCATGCGTATGATTCCTAGAGCATGCGCTTAGCTCTCGGCGCATGCTTATGTTCGACAGTACGTACGCGTAAGAGGTCCTTGTCAGACGTTTCCCGCGGTTTTTTGTTAAAGTGAAAGTGGTGCATCGTGTAGTGTTATATAATGCATTGAATTGCAGTGTAAATATGTTATTTCTTTTAAAAATGTTCTCTTTTTATAATTTTTTTCCTATATTTCAACTGTCAAGTGAGTTTAACGATACTCCATATATGAGTGAAGTGCATACATTACTGAGGATTATGCAGTGCGCATGCGTGGGAAAAGTGTCATATCCACGTGCATCACTGACAGCACGTGGTGTTATACCAAGTAGTATAAAATAATAAAAAAAACATCGCAATACCACTGTTCGTGTAAAAGAAATCATCGTAGTTAACACCGGAATCACCAGTGGGCGGTAGTAGGTACGTAATGCAATGATGGTACAATACCATCAAAGAATACAGTATTCTTTAATAGTATATATATAGTATAGTTAAAATGTATAATAGAATTATAAATAGTCATATTTAATTTTTATTGTATAAATATGTGTGTGTGCTTTAATTAACATTATATCATCCGATGGTACATTTGGGCTATGCAGAAATTATCGGACGAGCGGTGGTTTCATTTAAAAGAAATACTATATAATGTCATAAGACATTTTTTTTCGATTTTTTAATTCAAATCGTGTCAGTCACCAGTGACTGATGTTATATATATATATATAATCAAAGAATATTCAAAATACTGTATTTTTTGATAGTATTGTACTGTCATGGCGTTAAGTACCTGCTAAAACAGAAGAAAGAAGATGGAAAGAAGAATGAAAGAAAAAAATAGAAGAATGAAATATGCAATGGGGTTGGTGATCGAAAATTTAGGTAAGGTAATTCTTTCTCAATCATTTTATTTATATAATATATGAATAGATATATTTTTTTTGAAAAAAAAAAGAAAAAAAAACATCTCTTAACGTTATCATATCTTATTCAAATATTCTTGGATTTATGTGCAAACTACGTAAAGAGTAATTACCAGTTATGATGAGTAAACGAGCGAACATAATCTTAGCTTTCAATTGAATGATTGGTATGTTCTCGTAAAGGAAACTATATATTTTTATTGTGTATATCTCGTAATAAACCAGGAACATTATATTCTACGATTTTATCCTTTGTAATATGTCATTAACAAGTTGTACGTATAAGAAAAATGACTGTTTTTTTTTTAAAGTTTACAACCAAAGCTAACAATATTTTTCTAACTCTTTTTTGTTTTTTTTTTTATCTTTTCCTTCTTATTATTTCTTTCATATATTCGAAAGTACAAACACATCAAAATCCAAGTATCTAATATAATTCTTTACTTTCACATGTGTGTGTGTGTGTGTGGTTATTGGGATTTCTGGCAGGGGTGTGGTGACGTAGCAATTCGACCTATTTACTCTAATTTGGAATTTAACCACCAGATAGCGTATTCAAGTACTAGATATCCCAATAATCAATGTTTATAATTAAACAATTATTTTAACATGTTGAGCGCCACACGAATTTTTACGAAAATTTTCGTCAGGCCACGTACGGTAAAACGAAATTTGAACGTCAGGCACAAATGCCTGACGTGGCCTTAACTGAAAGTTCAATGTCAGTCATTGATGACTGACGTGGCTTTAATTGGAAGTTCAATGTCAGTCATTGATGACTGACGTGGCCTTAACTGGAAGTTCAATGTCAGTCATTGATGACTGACGTGGCCTGAACTGGAAGTTCAATGTCAGTCATCGATGACTGACGCGTCATTGAACGTGTTGAAGAATAATTGATAAAAAAAAAAATTAAAAGAAATATTTTTTTCTTACTCTCTCTTTTTGTTTTTTGTTTTTTGTTTTTTTCATAAAATTTCAAGTATGTGGTATATACGTCAAGAATACTTAAAGCTTCGATACTAACGTATTCCAAATGGTTACACATTAGATAGATGAATGATAATTATCAATTAACTCTCCATACGAGATGCTAGACTGAATTTCCTTCATAGATGATAAGTGTCACACAAAGTATTCACCTATTCATATTGCAAAATTATGAATTTCCTTTTATCTATGTGTATATATCAGTATACTCAGTATTAACAGTATTAACATCTATATATATGTATACATATAGATAGGAATTTAATCCATTACTGAGAATTGCAATATGACTTTACACAATATCATCATTATTATCGTCGTTTGTATTACACTTAAAAAATAAAGATCAAACTATAAAATGTGGATTTTATAGATAAAAAAAAGAAATTTATAAATAATATCTATTGCAATGTTTAAATAAAAAAGAGAAAGTTAATTAGGGAATTTGTATGCATACGTTAATTATGAATTGATAATAAATTAACAAACAAATATGATAAAATAATATATATATAATTATTGTTTTGATGTTTGAAATTTAAAAAATAAACGTAGAAGAAAATTTCAATATAAAAAGAAAGAGAAAGAAAATTAGAGAGAAAGAGTGAATGAGAGAGTGAGTGAGTGAGAGTATAAACGTAATTCAGGACAACGTGTTATCTATATTTCAGAATACATCCCACTCCTATTTGCAGTTATGTCATCGGTGACGTAGGATGGACCCAGCCTCCGCGTCTGGTATTGATTTCGTGACGTCACTAACACACAGATAGATATTCTACACGTAACAAAAGCAAACATCTTGCATGATTATTCTCTGTTTCTTGCTATTAGGTATGTATGTGAAACATTTACTTCTATTACGTAAAGCTTTTCACATATATCTATGTATATATATATATATTTCCGAATTTACATTACAATTTTATTTATAATTATTTATTTATCTATTTATTTATTTATTATAGCAGAAAAAAATAATTTACATAGTAATAACAAGATTAATACATAGTAAATTCTACAAGAGGTAAATATAGTTACTTGTACATAGGCTGTGTTACATATTAAAATTACTAATATTTAAAACTAAGAAATGTAAATAAATTGAAATAACATTATATAAACTTTCAAATAATTGTTAACAGTGATATATCAGTATTTAGTTAAACTATATCTATATTACTATATTATTATTTATATCTATATTATTATATTACTATATTACTATATTATTATCTATATCTATATTACTATATATTACTATATATTACTATATTATTATCTATATATTTTTTTAATAATATTTTATTAATAATATTAATAACGCAAAATAAATATTATATATAGGTATATATATATATAGATTCTAAATTAAATAATACATATATTAATTAATAATTATTAACGTTGTATGTATATATATATATAATATAATATTCTAAATTATATAAATGCAAATATTAATTAATAATATTAATTAAAGCAAAATCAAACATATATTATTCTAATTAATAATTATCGACTATGTTTAAAGTTTAAATATTTATTGTTTTGCTATTTTTTTGTTTGTTTTTTTATTTATTTATTTATTTATTTATTTAGTAATGATATTTCATTTTTATATAAGTCGTTGGTTTTTTTTTATTTCGTGGTACTTTCTATAATTGATTATTACAAAATATAGGTCAAAAAAAAAATGTCGATGTTTCGTTAACGTAATTAATTCAAGATTTTTTTTTCATGAATATCTGTGAGAATAATTTTTTTGGAAGTTATCTTATTATATTATAGTATAAGATATATATATATATGTATATGTGTAACGCCTTGACCTCGGATGACGATAGTTGAATGGCCGACAAATGATTGAAATGTTACTAATTATCTAATATCCTGGGTTACCAACGTATTTTCACTCTCTCTCTCTCTCTCTCTCTCTCTCTTTCTCTCTTTCTCTTTCTCTTTCTCTCTTGTTCTCTCTCTCTTATTCTTTTTTTTTATTTGTTTATAAATAATTTACAATTTGACCCAAATTTTTCTACGCGTACAAAATTTGTTCCAAGTAATCTCAATGAAATATTAAAAACATGTTATTTTTTTATCATTGACGTAATGAATTTAAAAATGAATAAACAAAAAAGTAAAAATATTCAAATAATTTGATCGATAAAATTGTTGACAAAGATTTTGTATTCAATTTTTTTTTTGTTTTTTTTTTTATTTCAATAAAATCCATGTGCATATTAGATTGAATGATATGACAAAAGTATATTCATTATCGTAATTACCAATGAACAATAATGCTATTTTTAAGATGATCGATTTGATGTCATAAAAATAGATAAAAGAAAATGTCATAATTTATCTAATTGACATTACGTTTCATTATTTTCCATAATAATTCATTAATTCCATAATAATTCATTAATTCCATAATAATAGTTCAAAACCAAGTATCTTTATTATATATATATATATATAATCATTATTTTAAAAAAAAAGATTTAATTTACAATTTTATTATGTGTTCACTGATGTATGTAATTTTTTACAATGTTGAATAACATTACGTTCTATTATTTTCCATAAATAATTATTTTATTTATTTATAATATACTCATATACTCGTTAATAGTTAAAAACCAAGTATATTTATTTAATCATTATTTTTAAAAAAAGATTTAATTTACAATTTTATTATGTGTTCACTGATGTATGTAATTTTTTACAATGTTGAATAACATTACGTCCTATTATTTTCCATAAATAATTATTTTATTTATTTATAATATACTCATATACTCGTTAATAGTTAAAAACCAAGTATCTTTATATATATATAACCATAATTTTAAAAAAAAGATTTAATTTACAATTTTATTATGTGTTCATTGATGCATAGAATTTTATTTACAATGTTGAATAATTATCTAATTTTATGACAAAAATGAAATATCTTTAATAAAAGATCGTATTAATTATTTTTTATTTTTTATTCGTTAATATATCATACCCGTATATATATTATATATATAACACACACATATATATATATATATATAATCAAAGAAAAGGGGATATTCCGATTACGTCTAACATAAGCCCAGTGATGTGTGTTGCAAGTGAAACCTCAACTGGTCTATCATGGGTAATATCTATTCATCTATCAATGTTCCCGTATATTGAGACAGAACATTTCAAAATATATAATTACATAATCTTTTTTTTACGAGTTTATTTGAATAATTTTGAAATAGATCATTTTTACAAACACACATTAGTATTATTATACAATTTGTTATTTTTTATAATCTTACGTTTATATAATTTTTTTTTGTTTTGTTTTAATTACTTCAATATCTCGATTAATTTATTTTACGAACAAATTTTGTGCTACAATTTTTTTTTTTTTT